AAGAGCATGACGGAAAGACGAGAGAAGGCGGCAACCAAGTGGCGGACAAAATACTCAGTATGATCTCAAAGAGATAGCGTACGCAGTAAATCTCCATCTGAGAACGGGCAGGACGCGAGGACGATAACGGACAAAATGACGACTTCAGCAATGAGCTACAGCCAAAGAAGCCAGTATCACACGCGTGGAAAACGTGTGTGGCTTCAATGAGTTTATTAAATTCTTTTTTGATTTTTTTTTTTTTTTTTTTTTTTTTTTCATTTTCATTTCAAAGGTAGAGCTAAGGTGATGAAGTATTTAACTGCGGACAGTTGGAATCCGCTACAGCTTGAGCAGGTGGAGGAGAAGGGCTGTACGGGTGAAGTGTGGCTGCGCCCGATCTTCTGATACAGTTGATCTGTGACATGTAAACTCCAGCTACATTATTATCATTTTGAGTTAATCTCATGTTGAACCGAGTGAACGACTCTGCGGTTGTGCTTAGGCACGCTCGTCTCGGTGCGTTCGAGAAAGACGTGTTCGGTGAGAACACGGAATTTCGTCGTAAAGATAGGCTTGCAACCTTGAGTTGCGGTTACAATTAATTAATTGATTGTTATCAATTGTTTGATTACGGTTAGTGTGACGCAGTGATTGGTGTACCGATCGGCGCGGGGGCTAGTCGACTGAATCAAGAAGACCGCAAGGCGGAGTGGCTCATTGCTGAACATCAGAGCACTGGATCGTCTCCTTGCTGCTGAAATCTTCTGGTGCGAGTAAGTGCGCGCGGTATCTTCGAGAGCTTATACCGCATGTACGGCCGAGGGAGGGGCCGTGGACGTGGCAGGTGGTCCGGGTGCAATCGGTACTGGATGGAGCTCCCGAATGGGATGCAAACTCCGCCAGTTGCTGCGCCAAATGGCTTCACCACGCAGACACCTGCACCACAGATGCAAGTGACTGCTTCTCCCCAGGGAGTAGCACCGCAAACGGTGGTGGCAACCGTCCCCACCACCAAGTTGGAACTACAATCAGCGGCAGCCTAGCGCGAACTCGTTTCCAGGACCGAGACAACGCGCATGGTTTACGAAGGAGCATCTCGATCTTATCGAGAAATGGAAGACTAGGGACATGATCGAAGAAGTCGAGCGGTGCAGAATCCAGCGGCGCAAGTGCAGCACGCGGCGGGAGCAAGAAAGGGAAAGCGAAGGACCACGGATGACAGCGAGACAAGGATGAAGGCTTGGATAGCAAGTACTTTCGGTGGATCGGTGAAGAAGATCGCCGATAAATTAGAAGAAGTAGACAGGAAGACCAGTGCTGCTATCCAAGATCGTGGGAAGAAGAGGATGGAGGAAGCCGAAGAAGAGAAGCAGGATGGCGGGAGTAGCGAGAAACGAAAACGTGAGTTCGCGTCACCAGCCGCTGCCCGATCGAGATCTAAATCCCGATCGAAAAGTGTTGGAGGCGACATTAAAGTGCAACCTCTGCGGATTAACATTTCGGATGACGATGACGAGAGAAGGGCGGGGGAGAAACAGCGAGTCAACACACGGATTGATGAGACGCAGGAGCATCAAGTGAACGTGAGGGAAGGTGAGAAGTTGGATGAGATAAAAAACGTGCTCCAAGCGCTGATGGGGAAGACCGAAGCAAGTGGATCTAGTCCCACAAAGAACTGTGGTGGGAACAAAGGTGGAACCTCCGACAATATGAAGAAGGAACACTGTATGGAGGTGGAAGCTAAGGTGCAAGTTGTGAAATCCGTGAAGGAGAAGGCCGTGATGGCACAGGAGGAAGTGATTGAGTATATGAGGTGTTGCCTGGATTACTACATGACATTGAAGGAGGTCAAGGCCATGTGCAAGAAGAGGGATGCGCGCTGTGATCGCAAGGACAAAGGTGCGTGGGAGCTAGCTAAACAGGACACAGACCAGTTCGCGAAGTTGGTGAACAACACCGAAGGAGAAGAGGATGACGAGGGAGAGGGAAACTCCACTAGAGAGGAAGACGAGGAAGACTGCAACAGCGGTGGTGAAGACAATGACGAGGAAGAGGGGGATGTGTCGGGGAATTGAAGTTCTCGAAACGGAGCGTTCTACGGTTCCTTAGGCGGTTGAGTAAATTGCGTATTGACCAAGGCCTAGCCGATAGATCCATAGCTAGGGAGATCGAAAAGCTCTTTCGCACTATTGTGATCCTCGCGTGCATGAATGGTTATCTAAATTGTGGACGCACGTTCTCGAAATACTGGAATAGCATGTGCTCCGTTGACTTGGATAGGATGAATGATGCAGGCTCTTGCGTATACGTCCTGATCTCACCGTTCTATAAATTTGTATATATTGGGCAAACGGGTCGGAATTTTCTTGAGAGATGGAGGGAGCACAAGCAGAGCATAAGGACTAAATCTGACAAAAAAGTGCACAAGTGGATCCGGAAGAAAGGTGTGGAAACGTACATCCCAATCCCCCTGTGGATAGGGGCAAAATCAGACTTATTACAAAGGGAAAAATTGTTGATTGAAAATGAGAACCCAGGCCTGAATATGGTTAAAACAAAGAAGAAAACGAAACTGAGACGCTCCAGACGAGGGAATGAATCCTCGAACAAAGTGATTGAATGGAAACCTCTAATTTTTACCGCCGAAAATTTGTGTCTTGACCCGACTGTTGATTTGATGAAGATCCTGAAGGCAGCTAAAGGAACTAGTAGGCCTCTGACAATCCGAAATGCAAGCGGCAGTAAATGGTGGAATGGATGGCGTATTGTCGCTTTGGTGTATGGAGACAGTAAAATCAGAATAGATGGAGCAAGTCGGCTACTAAAGGACTCGAAAGAATTAATTGAGCGGGGTGGAGATTGGTGTGTGGAATGTTTGATAAAAAATAAATCAAACACCGATCGAAAAAAATCCGATTTACTAACTCTATTGAGAGCACCATGGAAAAGGAGGACTTGACGTCGAGGGAAATCAGTGAATTGTTCCAGATGCTGAAAGGGATGAAATGTATCGACACAAAGAAAGGGCGGCAAATTTTGAGAGGAATAATTGCGAGAGAACTAAAAAGAAGAATTGGCATAAATCCTAGAATAAGATTGACAGTGAAACTTTCTTATTGCCACTCTCTAGACAAGAAGGAAATCAGGAAGGAATTCTTGGAATGGCTAAGAGAAGAGATTCAGTTGACGAACCTGGTCGACCTGCTGTAGAATAAGCTAAGAGTGGTCTGGACCAAAGCCAGATCAGTCACAGATATTTTGCATAATCACAAGCGCTATGCGAAAGAAGATCGCGAATGCGCATGTAGTGATTTTGACTTGCCTAGAACAAACGGGCATGTTCGGGTTAGGCTAAGTGAAATCAACAATGTGTATCAGTTCTTATACAACTCCAGGAACGTCCCATACCCAGGGAGAATGAATGATCTGACTGAGGTATTCGCTGCCTGTGAACAAGCAGCTGACCCCCTAAGGAGAGCGGGATACCGTCGAAATAAGGATAGGTTGAACTTGGGCAAGATCTCAAGAACCGCTCCGCCCATGAGGGAGGACCTGGTCCTCACTGAATATGTGAAGGGAGTAAAAATGGCATTTGAGGGGCTGGTGATGTCACCAGGAGACAAAAAACCTAGGAGAGAAGTTAATTGAATGTCCTGTGATATACTCTCAAGGGATGAAAGCCACATTCAACGATTGTCCTAGATACGTAAAATGTGATGAAGATGAAACCGAATTGTTGAAAAAGATGAGGACTGAATACAGAGAAGAAAAGCTGGAAAGAATTGCAAGATGGAATCAGGATGGATGTATTCAGCACGCATTTATTACGAGTAAGGACGAAGATCTGGATAAGAAACGACCCATTTGCCTTTCATAGCTCAGTCTAATCAGGTCGGCATTAAGAACGTTGACCGAAGTACTGAACATTCTAATACAGACAACAAAGATGACCAATTTCAACATGATTGCCATGAATAAGCTGAAAGAAGGACCGAGGGACGCCAACAGGCAAATAAGAATAAAGGGGGCTGACACATCTGTACTCATGAGAACATACGATATTAAGGAAAAGTTCACACAGATTCCACATCAAAGTGTGGAACAGGCAGTTGAATGGATATTGGCCGAACAGAAACTGAAAGGAAGGCACCGGGCAAGGGTAAAAACAAAGGGAAAAGGTGCACAGATGGGAAAATTGTATGGGGAAGGAGGATGGAAGTCAGTCGGTCTGAGCTACCTACTGAAATTAACTCGATTTCTGTTGAAAAATTGTTTTTTTCGATCACTGAATGAGATTCTACAACAGAAAAAAGGAATCCCCATGGGAGGACACGCAAGTCGTGCACTCGCATGCGTGATATGCATGAGAAGTGAACATGAATTTTTGCAGACGCTAGGCACGCAAAAGAAATTGATGTTCGGAAGACGTTTTATTGATGACTTGTTATTAATAAGATGGTTTAAAAATGAAAAAAATGAAATCGAGAAAGCAAAATGCAGGCTGGACGGTATCACCGAGTGTTATCACAAGGACCTGGTACTCGAAAGGACTGACGGCGGCATAAATGTCGCCGAATTTTTGGAAACTAAAGTGATGGTAATTAACGAACCATCCGAGGTATTGTCTATGCACAAATTTAAGAATGGTGAGAGAATCTGGAAAAGAGAAACATCCAAGTATAAGACAACGAAGGAATTCAAGTCCTTTGGGACTATGGAACAGAAGGTTGCAACTATTATTGGAACTATATATAGGATAAAAGATAATACAGGATAAAAGATAATACCTCTGAGGAGGCTCTATTGCCCATAATACTTATGACCTTTCACAGGGAACTAAGTATCCTGGGTTATCCGAGCTACATGTTTGTGAATGCAGTAAAAAAGGTGGCTGAAAGGGAGGGAGGGAGGGTCCGGCCCGAAATGGCTCTATTGTTTGAAAAATTATACGTATAGGTACCCAGCTCCGGTATGTTTTTTCGGAGGGAACCTGTATTTCAGGCCAATGGGCCTTGATGGACCCTGCAGTTAGGCCGAGGGGCCTCTACTGGCTCTGATAGGAGCATGGCGGAAAGACGAGAGAAGGCGACAACCAAGTGACGAACACGGACAAAGTGCTCAGTATGATCTCGAAGAGATAGCGTACGCAGTAAATCTCCGTATAAGGAAGGCACAGCATATTGGGGGATTCCAGCCCCGGTATGTTTTTTTCGGAGGGAACCTGTATTTCAGGCCAATGGGCCTTGATGGACCCCTGCAGTCAGGCCAAGAGGCCTCTACTGGCTCTGATAAGAGCATGACGGAAAGACGAGAGAAGGCGGCAACCAAGTGGCGGACAAAATACTCAGTATGATCTCAAAGAGATAGCGTACGCAGTAAATCTCCGTCTGAGAACCAGCAGGACGCGAGGACGATAACGGACAAAATGATGACTTCAGCAATGAGCTACAGCCAAAGAAGCCAGTATCACACGCGTGGAAAACGTTTTTGGCTTCAATGAGGTTATTAAATTCTTTTTTGATTTTGTTGTAGTTTCTTTATATTTTTATTTTTATTTTTATTTTTATTTCAAAGGTAGAGCTAAGGTGATGAAGTATTTAACCGCGGACAGTTGGAATCCGCTACAGCTTGAGCAGATGGAGGAGAAGGGTTGTACGGGTAAAGTGTGGTTGCACCCGATCTTCTGATGTAGTTGATCTGTGACGTGTAAACTCCAGCTGCATTATTATCATTTTGAGTTAATCTTAATCTCTCTCTCGCTCCCTCGTAGTCTGCTGATGCAGTGAAGTCAGATAACAAGAGGGTGAGAAGGAGATGGTGGCCTGAGAAGAGGAAGAAGAAGAACTCTCTCTCTCATGTGCCAGGTACTAACTTGTGAAGATGGCGCTGTGCTATAGGTACCTCGAAGACGAAGCTGGAGCAATGGCGCTGCAGGTAAGTCTCTCTGGCCTCTGCCCAATCTCTCTCTCTTTAGTACTACTCTAGCTGCTATGGCCCCCAGCGTTGAAGACTACAGCTAACGCTACTAGCGCCCAACGCTGAAGACTGCTGCTAATGCTGCTACTACTCCTGCAGCGCTCCTCCAGAGTGCTGCTGCCAAATCCTGAAGACTACCTCCTGCCTCCTGAACTGCACGTAAAGTGCCTGTGAAGTACCTAGGAACTACCTGCTGGCCTGCAGCGCGGGCCAGTCCTATATAGTGCTGGCCCGTCAAGGAGGCTGCTCTTGCCAATGCCTCAACGTGCCAGACCCTGGGGTTGAAGCTCAAACAAAGGTTGTCTTGAAAATAGGCCAGAAATGGCCTGAGCTAAGACCCTGGTCTGGTGCCTGAGTTTCAGGGCAGGTCGGTCTTATGAGGGCCCGGAAATGGCCCTCAGTTTGAGGCTGAAAACACTCAGGGTCGGAAAGGCCCTGATTTAGCCTGAAACGACACAGGGCTTGTAGGCCCTTGTTTCAGGCTTTCAGACTGAAACGACACGGGGCCTGTAGGCCCTTGTTTTCAGGCTTTTGGCCTGAAAATATCACGGGCTTGGAAATGGCCCGTGCAGCCTTTTGCAGGCGCAGCATGTAACACCCCCTCCCTCCTTATGAAGTCAAGCCGGGTCGAGGGCGAAGATGACGATCTGAGGTGGAACCTGGACGCGGGTAGGACATGGAGCCGAAGATACCGGCTTGCCTTGCATTTTGCGTTCGTAGCATGCGAGAACGTCCGGAGCTGTTGCTTGGAGTTCCGCACGGGTCAACCAACGGTCAGCTTTGTGAGTGCAGTACGCAAAATGTACCAAGTACTCGGTTGGCCTGTTGCCGTACCGTCTCGGGGAGATGATGTCGCCGACCTCCTGCAAACCGTCCATAGAGGGTGGGTCTTGCGAACGTCGCCCAGGAAAATCGTCATGTTCCGTCCATAGAGGGTGGGTCTTGCGAACGTCGCCCGGGAAAATCGTCATATTCTGCTGGCCTGTAAAGAGCATAACTTGGAGCAATGAAAGAGTGGGTAGACGGGCAAGTGGGCGGGCACCTGAATAGTGAAGGAAGGTCCCTCGGGTGCATCCCCAGCGGGTGCCACGATCGGCCAGGGCCCCATCCATTTAGGGAGGAGCTTGCGAGAGAGATCTTGTTCAAGGCTGAATTCCGCA